GGTTTGTTTATTGCCTGACGCCATAAATCTTTAATCTGCGGAGACACGGGACCCGGCTGAACACTCTGTCGCAGGGTCAAGGTTGGGGAGCTGACTGCTTGGCAGAACTGAGATCTGAACCACCGGACAAATGCCCATTGCACGTTGGTCCCGGGGCAGGGCGGGAGACGAAGCAGGGGCCTATTTCATCCTGAATAGCGGTGGTTGCGTTAGAGGACCCTGAAAGGAAGGATGGGCCAGTGGGTAGGTCACTCCCCTTGGGCTTAGCAGCCTCTGGGTGAAGTCCCTGCTGTGCCACAGATTCCCTATGTGATCGTGGGTAAGTCCCTTTGTCTCTCTGCCTCGATTTCCCCATCTGTAAAGTGCCCTCCCTCACAGAGCCGTTGGGATGCTTAAATACAATGAAGAGTCGACGGTGTTCAGCTATAACCCAGAGGGGCATATAAATAGGGGGAGATGTTAAATGGTAGAAAAGTGAGGGGAGGTTTACACAGTCTCCTCTCCCCAGTAGAAGCCGCAGCCTCCAGGGTGCGTGTACCAGTCTGGCAGAGCCCGCCGGAATTCCTGCTAGTTGATAATTCTCCGTTGAGATCTGTCAGTTGTTAATTCATTTCTTTTGGGCCCACATTCGTTTTGTATAGTGCTAATTCTTTCATCAGAAAGTCATGAGGTAGGATGTCAAATGCCTTCTGGAAATTTAAGTATATTATATCAAGACAGCTGCCTTTATCAACCACGCTTGGAACGGTCTCACAGAACAATAGCACGTCTGTCTGACAAGATCTAAATTCCATGAAAACTATGTTGGCTGGTATTAATTATATTTCCATCCTCCTTTCACTCTTTATTGATAGCACATTGATTAATGGAATCAGCCATTCCATTATTATGCCTAGAGTCAATGTCAAGCTATGTAAACCTTTAATTATTCAGGTCATTCTGTTTACCCTTTATGAATATTCTGCTTCATTCAGTGGCCAATGACTTCTCATTTTTCAGTGCTGCATCACTATGCAAACCTCACGCCTCCCAGCTCACCTGTGATGTAGGCAAGTGATAAGCCCCATTTTACAAATGGGGAAACTGAGGCACGTGTGATTAAATGGGATCTGCCCACAATCACACAGCAAGTCAGAATGACCACCATGTTTTTTTCCCCAAGGAATGGGCAATTTAAGGTTGTGACAGCCACATAAACATTAGTAAAAATTGAGTTAGAATTAAAGACACCTTACCACTAAAAAACATGGAATTGTTTCCAACACTCTGAACGCTTTTACAATTCGGATGTAGAACTCTTGGGAAATGATTTTTTTCCTGCAATAATTTTTTGAGGAAAAAACTTTTTCAGCAAATATTTTTAAAGGACTTTGGATTTTCATCAAAAACTCAAACAGTTCATTTTTAGTTTTTCAGTGAAAAACAGATTCCCTCCCCCACCCCACAAATATTTGCATTTTATCAAAAATCCAATTTTTGGCCAATTGTTTTTGGCCAGCTTTATTCACATGCCATGTAGGAGAAATACAGACACATGAACGTGAACATTAAAATGTCCAGTTGCAACCAGAGCTCCCCCACAATGCACTGCAGCTACCAAGATAGGCTTGGGTCTATTCTGCTCTCATATCAGCAAAAGTATGGAGTAACTCCATTCAAGTCCTATGTAGAATTGATGTAACTGAGCTCAGAGTCAAGCTCACAGTATTTGAGATGCGGAGTTACCGAAAGCCAGTTAGAAAAGAATGAAACCACTCATTTCAGCCCAGAAAGTGCTGCCGCATCTTCAATAACTATAAGTGCTTTGCACTAAACCAGACAAACACCTTTCAAGGTCTATTGCACACCCCTCTTCAAACTGCAGAATGTTAATTATTGAATTATGGTGACATGACACAGAGAAATCGGTTTTGTATCTAATCCTCAGATGTAACAAAGACATATTTTGCTGCAGAACATCCTGTACTATGTTAAAAATATATATATATAACTCTGCAATCTGGCCTCAATAAAGCCTAAATTAACACACTGTGCTTTCATTAGCCGTATTAGCCATGGCCCGGATAGAGCCGATTTCCTGTACGGTACCACAGTTTACAGAGTGCTAAACCCACACCAAGAAAAAGAGGTCAGAGTTAAAGCCACCATTAAAATTTGATGTTGGATTATTCCGCCTGCAATGCACCGAAAAATCTTTTCACGCAGAAAGCGTTACACACATAGCACTACGGGTGCAGAATTATTTTCAGCCCCGAAAGCGACATGCTTAATCCCGGGTGCCACGAATGGACAACATGTGCCCAAAACATCGCCAGCCAAATCAGGCCTCTTTCGCTGCCCCAAAGGCAGCATGAAGCACAAACTCCCTCTAGGTTCTTCCAGAGGACCCAGTGCCTGAAAACTGAATAGGAACCCCTGGAGGGGAGGGGAGACTGCAAAGGAGTAATGGGGAAGTGGGGCGGGTCCCTGTAAGGGTGCGGGCTCACCCCTGCGGTGCCCCCTACTGGTTGCTTCGGGGAATCAGTTCATCCAGCATCTGGAGCGCCCTCTACAGGCCAGTGATCCGCCTGTCCTCTTCTGGCCCCCCGTGTCCCTCCTGGGACCCAGTGCCCCTATTACTGGGATGCTGCCCCCTGGCAGTACCCCACAGATCTGGGTTTCCCCTCCCTGGGGAACCCCCACCACTACCCCCACCTTACTAGGCCACTGCCAGTCACCAACTAGCCCTCGCTCCCTGGGGCAGACTGCAGTATAGGCCACTCATCAACGGCAAGGTTGGTTTGGACCTGCTGCCTTGGCCTAGCCCTGGGCTGCCCTCTGCAACCCCCAGTACCCCTTAGCCTTCCCCTAGGCCAGAGCCTGGGGCTTTCCAGGCTGGAGCTCCCCAGCCCTGCTCCACTCAGGTACTCTGTCTAGCTCCCTACAGCCAGGCCCTTCTCTCTCTGAAGGCAGAGAGAGACTCTGGCCTGAGCTCCTGGCTCCCTGCCTTTATAGGGCCAGCTGAGGCTGTTTGGGGCATGGCCCCCACTGCAGCCACTCCCCCCAATCAGCTCAACCTTCAGGCTGCCTGCTCCCTGGGCTATCTCAGGCCCTTCCAGGCAGGAGCAGGTGTCCATTCTGCTACAGTCCCACAGAAGGAAGAGCTGTTGCTTTTTCTCAGTACATGCTCTAAGCTGGTGGACGTGGTTGTGAAACAACTACTGGCATCAAATGAGTTAATAAAACTATGTGCTATACCCTGTTAACCATGCAACTGCCATCTTGCCCTACTTAAACTTGAATTCTGAATTAGCTAGAATAAAGTATTATTACAACCTGGGGGGGAAAGAAAGGGGAGGTTTCACCCTGTGAACATGGTGACACCTGGGCTCTCTGTGCCACAGGAAACCCCCTGATACCTTGTTATTCTCTCAGTGTATACATGAATTTTTTGCTGGTTCTATAGACATGGAGGCTGAAGGCCACAGTGAGTGCATGTCCTTCCACCAGGGCTCAGCGCTCTACTCAAAAGACCCTCGTCAAGCTCCTTGGCCCATTCAGTCCTTCCTTGGCCAACAGATGGGCCACGTTTCCAGAGTGGGTTTTATAACAGGTGCTGCAACTAGGGCTGGTTGAAAAATGTTCAAAACTGTTTTTTAACAGAAAATTGGCTTTTCAGCTAAACAAAATTTGTCTTGAAAAGTGTCTTTGAAAAAGTTGTGAGGGTTTTTTTTGTCAGAAACCCAACATAGCTGTATTTAGATAAGATGTTGTGGTGCCTCATGGGAGCTGTAGTTCAGCTGCCTCATGTCCTCATTCTCCTTCATGAGCCAGGTTCCATGGTCGGACTACATCTCCCATGATGCACCATATCCAGGGACTCCCATGATACAACTGCCTCTTCTCGCTATGAGGGGACACCATGTTGCATCATGGGAAATGTAGTCTGACCAAGGAGCCTGCCTTATAGAGGGGAATGGGAGCATGAGGCAAGTGAACTACAACTCCCATGAGGCAATTGCAGCAGAATTTCCTAATTGAAATATTTTGGTATTTGTGCACACACACACACACATACATACCATTTTCCAGCCAGCTCTAAACATAACCAAACAGCTCATTATACATAAGACAGCAGGACGCTCTCATTTATTGTCACAACTTTTGGTTCCTTCTCACCAGGGATGGAGCTGAACCACCCAACTGAGACTGAAAGTCTCCGCTGCCTCTCTCCGATTCCAAGTCCACCCAGGCCCACTTACTATAATCCACTTTGCATCGGAGTCTGAAATGCAGGTATCCCCAGACAGACTCCGACCCAGGATAGGGCAAGCATTTCCCCAGTCACACCTATGTTCAAGCTAGTCCAGTTCCTGGGCTTGCCTTCACTAGGGAAAGAGGTGCGTTTCTCCAATGAGATAAGCTCTTGCATGTTAGCTGTCTTGCTGTAAAACCCGAGTGGAAACCGTGATGTAGGGGTAGTTGCTGATGGAGATAAAGGATGGAGGGGGAGGGTTTAAGGCAGGTGCTTCCACACTGCGGTACATGTACCACTGGTGGTACACGAGCTTGATGTTCCATCCGTTTGCTTCACAACAAGTTTTTAAGAAAGTGGTACATGAACCGGTGCAGTTTAGAAGCCAGTAGTGTAGGGTTTAACCACAGCCAGCTACAGCAAGGTAACACTTCCCCATGCCTCGTCTCCACTAAGAGCTTGCAACCCTGTGGCTAGTTCAAGTTAGCTATATCGTAAGAGAGACCCCTTTTTTATTTAGTGAAGAAACCGGCTCTGACAGTGGCCAGCAATGACTGCTTCAGAGCAAGAAAGCTTCCAACGTGTTAGGGGATAATGGGATGCAGCAAGCAGCTGGGAATGGGATGCAGTGAGCAGACAGCAATAAATGCCCTAGCCCACCACCTCCCCCCAGCTCTGCAGGGGTCAGTCCCTTTGCTCTGTCGCCCAAGGGGGGCTGCGGGTGGGAGCTCCGTGCAGTTAACTTTGGGATCTCTGTTAACCCTCTCCTCTGTCTCTCCCAGGTCTCCAGTGCAATGCCTCAATAGACCTAATCGGTACATGCTGGCCCCGGAGTGCTGTGGGGCAGCTGGTGGTCCTCCCTTGCCCCGAATACATCAACGGAGTCCGATACAACACCACAAGTAAGGCCCGTGGGTCTGACGGGGCGGGGGAGGGAATAGGAAGGGGGTGGCAGCACCAGGGTCACTGACCCCCAGAGATGAGTTTGGCATCGGTTGCACACACACAGGGCTATGGGGCAAAAGGAAAAGCCCATTCATGGTTCCCAAAGAGCTTCTGCTTCATTTGCAGTTGACATGGGCACTTGCCCAGCACATGAACGGTGGGGCCTCGCCCTGGGCTGAGCTCAGTGACAGCAGTTCAGTCAGATGTTTCAGGCCATCCGTTGGGTGCTGTAGGGGTGAGGAGAGAACCCAGTCACCCCATGTGGTACCACATGGGAACATTGCCAGACTATCTCAGACCCAAGACCTGCCTAGTCCAGTATCCTGTCTCTGGCAGATGCTTCAGGGAAAGGTGCAAGAAAGCCTGCAGTGGGTAGGTGTGCCCCCCACATTAGGTTTCATCCTGGTATCTAATAGTCAGTGATTGGCTTAAACCTTGGAACATGAGGTTTAATATCCCTTCCCAATTATTGTTAGCATTAAATATGGTCATTCTGGGGAGCTTTGTTACCATGTAAACGCCCAATCCTTTTTGGATTGTGCTAAGATTTTGGCCTCAGCAGCATCCTGTGGCAGTGAGTTCCACAGGCTAATCTCCTGATGTGAAAACATATTTCCTTCGACCTGTTTTGAATTTGCCGCCTTTCAATTACATTGACTGTTCCCTTGTCCTTGGGTGAGGAGACCCAGTTCTACTTTCGCTAGCCCATTCATCCCCTTTGTGTAAACAATGGGGCTCCACGTTCTGGCACTTGGCCAGTGCTAGCCATTGCTGGGCACTGGGCAAGAGGCTTAGAGTCAGAGAGTTTAAGGCCAGAAGGGACCACCAGATCATCTAGTCTGACCTCCTTCAAAGCACAGGCCACCAGCACCACCCAGCACTGGCACACCAAACCCAACAACCAAAATGAGACCAAAATATTACAGCCCACCGGAATGGCTTTTGGGAGCAGGACGGCATGGCAGTGGCAATGCTTCCAATAGTCCTAGCCAACATGGCAACTCCTGTTGCATGGGATGAACTGCTATATAGCCCTTTCCATCCATTGATCTCAAAGCACTTGACAAAGGAGTGTAGCGGCATTATCCCCATTTTACAGCTGGGGAAACTGAGTCCTTCCTCCTAACCCATCCCCTTTCTGGGGTGCCATTCACTCTCAGGTGCTTCTGCAGGAGTGGCTCCCCAGAAAGGGGACGGGTTCGGAGGCAGGACTCAGTTTCCCCATCTGTAAAATGGGGTTAATGCTGCTACCCTCCTTTGGGAGGCTGGCACTCTGATGCACTACAGCTCTGCACTTGGAGAGGGGAAGGATGGTTCTGGGGTTAGATCACTGAGTCCCTGCTCTACTGCAGACTGCTCTTGTGACCTTGGGCAAGTCACTTAGTCTCTCTGTGCCTCGGGTCCCCTTGTGTAAAATGGAGATAGGAGCACTGTCCTACTTCACAGCAGGGTCATGAGGGGTTAAAGATTGTGTGGTGTTCAGATATCATGGTGGCGGGAAATAAGCACTGTCGGCCCTTATCAATGTGCTTGGGAGAAAGAATAGTAGGTTATTATCTAAAGTCCCGGATCAGCCTCAGGAGTAAATATGTGGGTAGAAAGCGGGTCTGTCCCCCTGTTTTTAGGAATGGTCACATCCTTCCACAGAGAAAAGGGAAGTGCAAATTTCCAAGCTCCCTCGGGCATAAGGGGCCTGAAGGGAATTGTTTTCTGCTTATTCTTGTTCATGGCATTTTAACGAAAATGGCTGATGACGTTTTGCTGAGAGCCAGAGATTGGGAGAGAGGGGGATGGGGGAAACCTCCAGTCTGGTTAATGGCTACGGCATGGAGAAGGGTATCTTTTTTCCCCTCAAAAGTGGTGATAATTATCAACCAAAAAAAAAAATCCATCAGAAACATGAATTATCCCCGGCTCTCCCAGGGAACAGGATAATGGGTTTACATTTCGTTAATGTTCTTAAGCTGCTGATTATCCTGATTGTCCACATGGCGTTATATTTAATGATTTAATGATGAAGCCACCTTTGTGATGTCAGCTAGTTGTCATGGGGACTTTCCGGCCATGCTTCTTTGCAAGGCCACGTAGATTTGTTTGTTTGATCTCTGGGGTGACTTCATTGTTGGGAAGGGAGCTTTGCTCAGTGAAATCGAGCAGGTTTATTTTCCTCCTGCCTGGCTCCGCTTTGATGTCTTCATTGTTTGGTAAAGCATATTACATTGCCTCACTGGTGGCTTTGCAAGCCGGCACCGCTAGCCAGCGTCTTCAGTTTATTAGGAGGAGAGGTGAGCTCACGGACAAAGATGTAAGGGATGCTGGTCACATTTTCCTATCGCTTTCATGTCCTTTGGGTTCCCATTTCCTTACAATTTATACTAGGTGAGGCTGAGTCTTGGTAATTTCAGAGCTATCTATTTATCTGAGGTCCCCATTATCTTAGCATCAGAGCCGCATACAGTCTTCATCCTCACAACACCCTGTGAGGTCGGGCAGTGCTCTTATACCCATTTTACAGATGGAAAAGAGAGGCCCTTGCATCTGAAGAAGTGAGGTTCTTACCCACGAAAGCTTATGCTCCCAATACTTCTGTTAGTCTTAAAGGTGCCACAGGACCCTCTGTTACTTTTTACAGATTCAGACTAACACGGCTACCCCTCTGATACTTCAAAGGTATTGAGATTCGTAGTTAACAATGGCAGGCTGAAGTTGGGAACCTGGGTCTACCCAAGTCTGGGGCTGGAGCCTTGACCAGCGCACCAGCCTTCCACATACCCGGCGTTTGGAAATTTCTTCCACACATTGAGCCTCTTGGGTCTGCAGAGCAGGGATGGGAATCTTCCATGAGGTTTGCAACTTCTGCTCAGGTGAGGAGGCCACGGGATCTCCCAGCGCCGCCGCCTCTTCTGTGATGCCTTAGAAAAAGAAGGCAGCCAAGCGAGACGCAGGTATTCAAAAAGTGATCTCCTGTCTGCTGTGAGTCTGGCTAGCACATTGTACGTCAGCCCGTGTTAGACCCCGATCCAGCAAACACGAGTCGCCCCTCCTGAATCATATCATCCCATGGACGTAGATTCTAAGGCAAAAAGGGACCAGTCCGATCAACCAGTCTGATCTCCTGTATAACACAAGCCAAGGAACTGCCCCAAAATAATTCCTAGAGCAGATCTGACCTCGCTAGCACTCCTTGCCTTGGGCCAGGGCTGCCAGGTCAGGCCCGTAGAATGTGACTAGGACTTGTGGGAAATATTCTGGCTAAACGATTTTTCGATGGAGAGTCAGGTGTTTGGCTAACTGACGCCCTTTCACCACAAGGAAGTGCTTTCCACAGAAAATCTCCAAATCTCATCGCAAACGCTGTTGGCTGAAAATTGAAGTGTTTCAGCCCGTGGAACATTTTCTTATCTTTGATTTTTGGAGGAAAAGGCCACATTTTCCACGGAGGGCGGGGGAAGAGCCCATTTCTTCACCAGCTCTAAATGTGAGCGGTTAGAGAGCACTCCTAAATCAGTTAGGCCTTGCAGTGGGGCTAAGGGCCTGTCCACACAGTCTTCAGCAGAAAGCCACCCAGCCCAGATAGACAGACTTGGGCTTGCACTGAAAATAGCTATGTAAACATAGAATCTCAGGGTTGGAAGGGACCTCAGGAGGGCATCTAGTCCAACCCCCTGCTCAAAGCAGGGCCAATCCCCAGACAGATTTTTTGCCCCAGATTGCTAATGGCCTCCTGAAGGATTAGACTCACAAACCTGTGTGTAGCAGGCCAATGCTCAAACCACTGAGCTATCCTGCAGCTTGGGTGCTGAAGCCTGGAAAGGGGGTGGGCTTCAGAACCTGGATTCAGCAGCTACATGGCCATTTTTACAACACTGGCACAACCCCCACCAGGCCCGGTCTGCCAGCCCAGCCTAGGAGGCTGGCTGCCGTGCGCTGTGTAGATTTATCCTACGTGACTTGCCCAAGGTGACACAAGATGTCGGTGGCAGAGGAGGGGACGGAGCCCAGGACTCCCAAGTCATAAGCTATCCTCTTAACCACTGGCCCATCCTTCCTTCACAGGGAATCACTGTGGTTTTATTCAAACGGAAGCTTCCCCCCCAATTCCTTTCTCGCCACAGCAATACTGCCCTAACCTCGGCATTGTGTGTTGGATGTTTATTATTAGCAGTAGCGGCTAGCAGCTCTCATCATGGATCACGATCCCATTGTGCTAGGCGCTGTACAAACAGAACAAAAAGACAGCTCCTGCCCCAAAGAGCTTCCAGCGTGAGCAGCCCTTTGTCTTGCCTTGTTGAAGCCGATAGCAGGACCCGTGGCCCAGGCATCTTCTAGCTCCTCAGTGGGTGCAATCAGCCTGACGAGGAATCTGACAGCTGGTGCTTACATTCACGTACTCGCTTCCGCTCTCTCCCGCTTAGCATCCTTCCCACACAATAGCTAGCTCCTCCACCGCTTTGTCCTTCGCCACATCCTGGCACCTGGCACTCTCGGAATTAATGTGCCCATCTGCCAGCGCTTTGCACTCACAGCTATTGACCTGGTTCGGTTAGTGGGCATCCGGAGACCTAAGTGCCACTCTCCTCTGTGTGATTTTGGGCAAGTCACTTCGCCTTGAATCCTTTTATGGGCCTGTGAATTGGCTGTGTGTGTGTGTGTGTGTGTGTGTGTGTGTGTGTGTGCGCGCACACGCTCACACCACTGCAATCTACCGGGTAGAATCAGAGCTACACAACTGTGTGTCCTAGGCCCAACGCTGCTATTAGCAAATGAAGATTCGCTTACAGCTCAGTGTCGGGGGACCTGGGCGTTGAAAGCGGGACAGGCTGAGTCCCTAGGCCACTCTTACCACTAAGCTCTGAGTAGCCATCTTGTGCAGTGTAGTGACAACCAGGAAGCTCAAGGTGGCTCCAAATTTGCAGTGTTGTTTGAAACCCCCTGACCCACCCAGCCCCACTTTTTGTTTGTTTAGCTGTTTTGTGGGACTTTTCGAATTCACAATATGGTACAGACACCTTCCAAGCATCCCACAAACCTTTACCTCTCCTAGTCTGACCTGCATAGCGCAGGTCTGTACATTTCACCAGTTACCCCGTATTGAGCACAATGACTTTGATTAGACTCAAGCATTGAAGTACTCATGAGACTAAACGGTTGTGTGCCGCAGGCAGAGACCAAGGTTCCACCCATGCCCGAGGCCCCTGCATTGGCAGGGAATTGATTAGGGGCCAATCTGTGCCCGCTGGGAAATTTTTTACCGACCCCCTCCCCCCGGTGATCAGTGTGACCCTGAGCATGTGAGCAAGACACACCAGCCAGGCACATAGGAAAGAGTCCTCTGTACCTCGCGCCAATCTACTTCAGTGTTGGTCATGTCCTGAGTCCAATCCAGTTTCATGGGTTCTCTCCAGATTTTGCATCCAGTTTGGATTCCTCGTGGAGCACAGGTTGGGTGACCAGACAGCAAGTGTGAAAAATCGGGACGGGGTGGGGTGCCTATATATGAAAAAGCTCCAAATATCAGGACTGTCCCTATAAAATCAGGACATCTGACCACCCTAAGCTCAGGGCTTTAGGCGCTGAGAGGCTGTTTTAGGTGTAGACTGGTCCCAGTCTTGCGAAATGTCGCATTAACTATTAACCCAGTGGGCTGTGAAACACACAGTAACATTGCACTGGCTTCTGACAATTATACCAGCACAGCATCCCTCACACACACACACACACACACACACACACACACACACACACAGAGCTGGCAAAGAGCCTCACCCCCAACTTGCAGTACTCCCTGCTATTCCAGTCCTGGGATCCCCGTGCAATTCTGCCAATACAACTCTGATCGATGGTACCTGCTTATTACAGTCCTAGACCTCTGCTGGACTGACTTCCACTCCTGTGTTGAATTATGCAGTGAACAAACCCACTCCACCATCGTTCATTAGCACTGGCGGCCTTTGTGGAGAAATGTTGCCGTTAGGGCTGTCAATTAATTGCAGTTAAAGGCACGCGATTAACGCAAAACAAATTAACTAGATTTTTAAAAACAGTTGTGATTAATGGCAGTTGTAATCTCACTGCTAAACAATAAGAGGATCCCAATTTACATTTATTATAAATGCTTTTGGATGCTTTTGGACATTTTCAAAGATATTGATTTCAATTACAACCCGGAATACAAAGTGTACAGTGTTCACTTTATGTTATTATTTTAGATTACAAATGTTTGCACTGTCAAAAGATAAACCAAAGAAATAGTATTTTTCAGGTCACCTCATACAAGTACCGTAGTGCAATCTCTTTCTCGTGAAAGTGCAACTTACAAAAGTAGATTTTTTTTTGGCTACATAACTGCACTCAAAAACGAAACAATATCAAACTTTCGAGCCTACACTTGTCCTACTTCTTGTTCAGCCAATCGCTAAGGCAAACAAGTTTGTTTACCTTTACGGGAGATACTGCTGCCCGCTTCTTATTTACAATGTCACCTGAAAGCGAGAACAGGTGTCCGCATGGCACTTTTGTCGCCGACGTTGCAAGGTATTTCCGTGCCAGATGTGCTAAACATTCCTATGCCCCTTCCTGCTTCGACATTTGTAAGTTGCACTTTCACTTTCAATGTAGTTGCAAATGTAGAGAAACACCCACAAATACTTAGCATACATTTAAATGAGTGTTCCATTAGTGTTAAACAGTGCAATGAAAACGGCGACGAAGCACGGTTCTTTTTGTTTAATCTCGTGACGAACGGCGATTATATTTTTGAATTATTTGACAGCCCTAGTTGCCAGGGCCGGCTCCAGGCACCAGCAAAGGAAGCAGGTGCTTGGGGCGGCCAAGGGGAAGGGGCAGCACGTCCAGGGTCTTCGGCGGCAATTCAGCGGCGGGTCCCTCAGTCCCTCTTGGAGCGAAGGACCCGCCGCCGAAGAATGAAGTGGCGCGGCTGAGCTGCCCCCGATCGGGGCTTTATCTCCCCCCCCCCCCGCTGCTTTGGGGCGGCAAAAAAGCTGGAGCTGGCCCTGCAAGTGGCCATATATTGACCAGAGAGGCAACACGAATAGTGAGTGTGATAAATTAGCCTCGGGCTTGGGTTTGGGATCAGCGCTGCCTGTCGCAGCTCTATGGCATTTGAGGGCATAAATTGATCCGAGGGGAGGTGGTGTGCAGGAAGTTGCTGTGAAATCATTACACCATCAATAACCCGAGGGGAGGGGGGTTTGTTTGTTTTATTTAACAAACAATCCAAGGGCTGTCTGTGTCCCTGTGAATTCTCCACGGCTGGCACTGTAACGTGTGGTCTCTAAATCACATTCACGGAGCTCCCATCACTAATCTAGCCCTCCCATTTGATGCTGTGTGTGAAGTATGCATGAGAAACAAATGGCGCGTGATCACATCTAGCGACCAGAGGCCTCCAGAGGGGGATGAAAGGACAGGTTTAGCTATGGGCACATGGATGCCATGCTCATGACTGGGCTATCGAAGTGCTGCACTGCTGGGCGGGGGGGTGCCACAGGGTACCAAGGTGTTCTGTGTGCGTTCACACCAAATGACAAAGGCTTTGTGTCTTCATCCCACCGCAAAGCCAGCACTACGGAGGTGGAGGGTGGCCGGCAGGAGGAAGCTAACCACAGCCCGGCGTGGGAAAGGTATCAGCTTCCAGTTTCATTCAAGAGAGGGTGCCCCCTGCTGCGGCACTCGGGCATTGGGGCCAGCACTGTCGCTGAGGGAAGATCACCCCCTACTGCTCTACCCGCTCCACTGCCTGCTGCCCAGCGCCTCCTGGCACCGCACTGGGGTTAGCACTAGCACCAAGGGGCTGAGACAAAAACCAGACGTGAGGTTTTGTCTGGTATCCCACATGGAGGACGCCATTGGCAAAAGCGCGCCGCTCCGCCTCCGCCGGCGTGACCTTGCGCACACGCGTTTGAGATCACGCTGGGCAGCGCCGTGCGCTCTTCGAAATAGAGTCCTCCATGCAGCATGGCCTCACCTGCACCATGCTCGTGAGGGCATGCCAGCGGAGGCGGGGTCACGCAGGTGGGGGCAAGCCACGCCACTCCTGGACATACCGGCCTGTCTGGTATTCTGGGCTCTGAAACCCAGGCCTGTCCGAAGCAGTTCGCTCTCCAGCAGGGGGAAAAGCAGAACAAGAGACTGGGCCCCCGTGTGATGGGTGATGAAGCGGCTAAGTCTGGGGGGCAAGGGGAGCTGCTGGCAATGTCCTGATGAGAGGTGGGAAGAAGAAAAAGGCATCTCCGGTGAGGAGAAAACTGAAGCTTTGGGCTATTTCTTTATTCTAGTTCGTTGGTTATCGGTGACTAACGTCTGCCGTGAACAAGGGGTTATTGAAGGTAAAGTCTGACTCAGACTGGTTTATATAGCCACAGGGGAAACTGAGGCACAGCTCGGGGCCTGGGCCTATGACAGGTCCCTTCCGGCCTTGTAATCTCTGCGTCTGATTTCTCTGATAGGACACAAAGGCCTGTTTGCTAATAATAGACCTGCAATGTCCCCCTCGCTCTGTCATTCCTCTGGTGCTAACGCTAATAGGATACTGCTTTGGGCTTGCCACGGGAGCTGTCTTCTCAGCTCGTGGTGCCTAGAGTCATCCCCGTGAAAATGAAATTTGCCGATATGCTAAGGCAGTTGCTATTGCAGGAAATAAGGTGCCAGCTTCACATTATCACCGAGATAGCGTTAAAACAGACAGGGAATGATCGTACGGGCGAACAGCCAGTACGAAGGGAAAATTACCGCCGGCCCTTTGCTCTAGATTTGCTTTTCTTTCTTTCCTCCTTGCCTCCTGCTTTCATCCTTGTTTGCAAAGAAAGTTTTTGGAAGAACAAACATGGCATTTACTAAGTGGCAACTGGGTTTCCATGTTGAAATAATAATAATCAAGTCCATGAGTCAGTATTCCAGAAAAAAGATCCAGTTGGCCGGGCGCCATAGCAACCTGCAAAGCTCGCCATAGCAACTTGCAAATCTCTTTTTTAAAAAGGTTTGGGCCCAGCGCCCTGCATCCTGTGCTATTAACTGTTCCCTGTGTTTGTGTCTCTTTCTTCCAGACAACGGGTACAGAGAATGCCTCACGAATGGGAGCTGGGCAGCCCGCGTCAATTATTCCCAGTGCCAGGAGATTCTCGACGAGGAGGTACGTGCCCATGGACCATTTGAACCAGGTCGTGTTTGTTCCGGGGGGTTGGAAGGAGGAAGAGGAAATCAAGTTTTAAAAGGAAGCACGTGTCTTCAAGAAGTTTTAGGGTTTGACAGTAATGAGCTTCGGTGGATGGGCGTCTTTAGGGAGAGGAGTAGCACGTGTAAGGATGAGGAGACATTAGCGGGGAATCAGACCTAAGGCTGCTGGATCATAACGCACAAACCTTTGCTCCCTGACCGGGTGCTGTTAGCCAGGCCCACAGCAGGGTCTTTGACTTCTCTATAAGTGACCCAGGCACCGCTATAAGGTGACAGAGTGCCACAATGAGTGAGCGTGAGTTACACACCGTGTGCATCGTGAGCCATCCGTGTTCACAAGCAGCCATCTCGATGCACCGGGAGCTTTTAGGGTGACCACCTAGGGAGTAAAGCTGCATGACCAGCATAGAAGAAAGTGTATCCCAGTCCAGGGGGTTTTACACGTGGCATGAAATAATCCATTGGCCGCACAGGGCATGATTCACAGCAATTATCACTGAAATGCAGGACAGAGCGTCCCCTCTATTGACTTGATAGCAGGACAGTACGTAACAAATCCAGGGCATCCCTTCAAATAAAGCACCCTAGGAACCATTGTCTAGGCCAGCGCCTATGTATGGGGATAGATAGATAGATAGATAGATAGATAGATAGATAGATAGATAGATAGATAGATAGATAGATAGATAGATAGATAGGAGGGGATGTATGGGGGGAGAGAGAGAGAGAGTAAATGAAATAATGAATTTCACTACTGTGGCTCTTTTGGGTAATGTCAATTGCTCATTTGCTCCTGAACTGCTGAGATCTGAATGTCACTGGTCTACATCCCCTCCTATCTATCTATCTATCTATCTATCTATCTATCTATCTATCTATCTATCTATCTATCTATCTATCTATCCCCATACATAGGCG